CTGGCCTCCCCCATGACTGCCCTGGCCGCTTTGCTCCCTCCCCCCCCCCCCGCCCCGCCCGCCATCTCCCTGTAATGAACGCATGTGCCCTATAGCAAACTTCAAAATAATCATAATTATTAATAAAATTAAATAAATAATTCTTTTTTAAAAAAGAAAACGTAAATGTTATCTGATTAAAAGTTATGCATGTGCAAGTATCTAGGAAAAAATATACATGGTTGAGACCTAAAAACTATTGATAAGCAAGCTGATAAGATGAGAGATCAACTTCTGGATAAAATGAGAGATTATTTCTTATCAGTTTGACTGACTTTATTATTCTTATGCTAATTAGAGTAATTAAGGCAAAACTATTGACAATGTTGAAAACATACTTCAATTTTGGCTATCAACTTGATGCACAATACGGTGAGGCCTTGTCCCAGGAGAGGTCACATTAACAGAACTAAGACGAGGCCTTGTGAACCTAATTAGCTTCACCCCATGAAATAGGAGAAAGTCCTCCTTTAAAGGCTGGGAGTTGGGCTGGGAGAACCCCCAGATTTTCATGACCAGGAGGCAGTCAGGCAGGCCCTGGGCATGACTAACAGGGCGAAAGTGAGAGGGACTACTCTGTCCTTTGCCTCCAAATCTAGAACTCTCCTTATCAATTCAGAGAAGAACTAGTTTCCAGGCCACCTTCTAGAAGAGTCAGAAAATGCCCCTGAAAGCTATCCTTCTTTCCATGGCCCAAGTTTCTTTGGCGGCATGAGCATTTGTAATTATGCATGCATTCATATTATTATCTGATGACTATCTGTCTCCTTCCACTAAAAATACAGACTTCGGAAGAACCTTGTCAGTCTTCTTCACTAGTATCTCCAGTGCCTATCTCCATACCCGAGATGAGTGTCTGACCCAGAGCAGACACTCAATAACTCTGCTGAATGAATGAACAGGGGAGGGTTACCACACTTCAGAGATTTATGCTTACCTCAGGTAACACAGGCGTTTTCCTTAGACCCTTCAGACACTAGGCATTCACCTGGCCTCTTGCCTGTGAAAGCTGGTTCAACGCCATCCCCCAGTGCATGAGCTACCAGACATGAGATGTTGGTTTGAGTTCAGCCCACAACAGACATCAGAAGATTGCATTGACCCTGGCTCTTCCTCCTTCGTGTCAACTGCATCTGAAAGACTTGCCCTTGGAGATGATAAAAATCACTACCCACTTTTGATTTCCAGAAATCAACCAGTTGCGTCACAAGAACTACAACTATCTGCCTAAATCTACCACAGGTGATGAGGGCCTTCCAAACATAGTCACTGCTGCAGAGGAGAACACAGCACTAAAGAACTTCAAGCAGCTACAGAAGTGGAAACAAAATGCTCAGCTCTCTGGTAAGACACTTTAGCAATCATGACTACAGTCACTACCATGTATGCAGTACTAGCTATGTGCCAAGCACTGACAATATCTAAAGAGTTAAGAGCACAAACTTTAGAACAAGCAGATGGCGTAATGGTTACATCTCTGGACTCCCATGTAGTCAAATTAGGTTCAAGTCCTAGACCTGGTGGCTTAGGGTGTGTGTGCATACCCAAAATCCTGAGAGGAGACTGGAGAAGGGATTGTGGCATGGTCACCCTCAGGGGGGTGATTTCTCGCTTTCTGTCTCTCTGGCAAGTACATGCACCCTATAGCAAAAATCTCTCTCTCAGAAAAAAAAAAAAAGTACAGATTTTGAAATGAGATTGATCTGAGCAATAATCCTAACTCTCTTACTAGTTACATTGGGCAACATATTCAACTCCCAGACTTAGCTTCTTTAGCTGTAAAGTGGGAATAATAAGAGAGTCTATCTTATAGGGTCATTTATGGACTTGAGGGAGACAATGCATCCAGATGGATTGCAATACAGCCTGTGACAAGATCACACACACT